AGGTCTGCGCCGAAAAGACCCATGTTGGTCAGGGTCTTCCGCAAATTCCAAGTACGGATGATCTCTTTGAAGTTGGCCTGCTTGAAAAGCCAACTCGAGGCGGGCTGTTCCACCATGACGAACAATCGTGGTCTGAAGGTCTTCATCAGCATGAGAAACACAACCTCTGGTTTGCCCAAATACCCCAACGTTATCAAAAATACCACTAGCAGCGATCAGTCCTAGAACTCAACCCGAAGGAGTTGTTGGCAAAAGAAATTTAAATATATTATAATATATTCAAAAATATCAAATATACGTATTAAATCCAAAATTATACTAAATGTAGCTCGGGTAACAAAGTTTGACAAGATCAAATTGCTCAACCGCACACACCTCCTGCTGGTGTCTCCGAGCAATCGAAACTCCGACCGCATATGGACTGAGGATGAAATGCCCACGAAGAGACTACACGGTGGTGCGCATGCCATCAGGGCATCATCCATCAGCCTGGGCAGGTAGCAAACGGGCCCGAAATCATCCCAAACCCTGCAAACTACACAGAGTACCAACACCATCAAACACCACTACTCTTGTCGTCAAGAAACTGAAGTCCCAGGTTCAATAGAACCAAAAAGCCAGCTCTTGTGGTGATGTCCTGAAGCGGGTTGTTCAACACATCGTAGGAAGTAGCCGTGAACCCGTTCTTCTCGAATTGGCGCTCGAAATTGCGGCTCCGAGAAAACAAATCCAAGCAATGCCAGCAGCGTTGCCCTGACCACTGTTTGCAGTACTCCTGCAAATCGTCCATGGCTGAAAGTGCATGGAACCAGTCTGACTCCCACGCTGTTGTTCGGGCATCCATTTGTGGCATCCCACACGCACACTGTGCCAGACACAACAGCACGAAACCCAACATCGCCAGACAGGTCACAATGCAGGGTCCCAAAGACTCCTCGCCAAGAGTTTGCACTGGTCAGATGCTGCGGTCACTGCATTCTGCAATCATGCCCATGATTGCTCATGTCTGAAACATTCTGAAACTAAAATAAACTAAGTAATTCTTCTTCGACTGAGAAAAATGTAACTTACATCCTTCCACGCACAAAATCCTTGACAGTAGTGTGAACAGGATGAACTGGGGCACAAGACAGCTCCATTCGATGAGGTTGGAAGAGCTGCGTGTCCCTTGTCTGCCTCACCAAAAGCATGATCATAGGAGGAATTCAGCTTGAAACCTCTACCTCAAAAATGTAAGTTACATTTAGTCACAATCAATATGATTGCAAATATATGACATGATATGACTTCTCCCCACAAATCATTCCATCATATTCCATCTGTATCCTCAAACCTGCACGGCATGTGGAGTGGCACTGGTTTGGTATAGAATTGTGAAAATCAAACTGGTAAAATCTGGTAAACAGAATGAACTGGGGCGCAGGACAGATTCAACCGCAGAGGCTTTCAAAGCTGCACACCCTGTGTCGGCCTCACCAATATGATGAATCTGGCGTAATATGGCAGTAAAATGGCTTGAAATCTAGCCCTCAAAATTGTAAGTTACATTTTGGTCACACACAATATGAATGCAAATCACCGTGTCTGCCTCTCCCAAAGCATGATCATGGGAGGAAATTAGATTTAAATCTAACCCTCAAAATTGTAAGTTACATTTTAGCCACACTCAGTAAGATTGCAAATTCTGCAAGAAGAAGGACAAGATAGGAGAACAAGAGAACAAACGCTATTTTGGCCAAGTCACTTGAGCCAAAACATTCGTTGGTTCAAACCTATGGCAGTAATGAATACATGTTCACCCAAGCCTGCCAGACCTGAAACATGTTTATATATATCCATATGTCTCCTCAAAGCTTGAAAGCAGCATGAATGAGGTTTGGCAATGGTTTGGTATAAACTGGTATCAACTGGGGCGCACGACAGATCCGTTCTTGGAGGTTGGAGGCGCTGGAGGCGTCGCATCAGCCTCGCCAAACACATGACCATAGCAGGAGATAGGCTTGGAATCTAGAACGAACTGGGGCCTCACTCGGATAAGGCACAGTGCAGTTCTTCCGTCCTGCTACGAAGACAATGTGAATCTGATTGAAAACATCCCTCTGCAATTCTGGCTTCACTATGACTCACCCTCCTGCCAACAAAGCACGGGCTTGCGGATTCGTCGGCGGAGGTGGTACGTTCTCCTGTTTGGCAAATCCTGCCGGGGCCGGGCTCCCGCAAATTTGCCGAACGTATCATAACGTGTCCACAACATTCCACAACAGAATTACGTCCTTGTGCTTTCACAAAGCTGCTAAACGTTGTTTGAATCCCTTTTGGATCCGTGAAGTGCCAATAGAGATCCACTCTACCACCAGTGGCACCCGTAATCCGCTCTCGCCCTTCAACTTTCCACGGCATGGCTCCCAGCAGGAAAAATGGAAGGATCGCACCCAAAAAAAGAAACTGTCAGTGTCAGTGTCTGTGAGTCACAAAACGAGCCAGGAATCATAAGCTCTTTTGTCCCTGACTCCAGGAATTTGTCCCTGACTGCATTCAGTTTCTCTCTTTGATTGTCTTTGACTAGCTCATACGACCTCTCTCTTGATCCATTCCTGCTACTATCGCGGGCAAAAGACATCACAAAAGTCTGCACAATAACATCACAAGATATCACAAGACTCTGCACAATGGGGGGGGGCCTATTAAATGTAACTTTCAACCTCGCACACTCCAAGTTACATTTTTCACACCCCTCCCCCCCCCCCC